GGTATCGGGGATCGAACTCAGGTCCTTGTGCTTGCAGCGGGCACCAGAACCACTGAGCTAAATCCCCGGGCCTATTAAAAAACTATTCTTTAGTGTGTTCAGCACATAGATCTCAGAGTTCACAATTCCCTCCGTAAGCCAAGGTGCGTCCCTCATGCACCAACAGAGCTGGCTTTTTCTGGAAGTTAACTGAAGGAGCTAAATCCGGGCGTTCTCAGCTGGAGCTGCACCACACTGTGCCTGAAGTTTGTTAAATACTTAATTAGCTCAATTAACGCTCACTCTTCTTCACTAATTGCGCAAGCTGCATCTCAGTTTAAAGCGACACACAAGCAGCACATCTGATTTTAATTGACTTCATGTGATTTACAAAGATGACAATTTCACACTTCCGTGTATAATTAGATAAAAGCCATTCATAGTTAATTCTCACGGTAAATGAGATTTTCATGATAAATGTGTGGATTTTTTTTTCGGAAGAAACTACCTTGCTATACATAAGCCAGTTTTAAGAGCCTTAAGGAGCCAAGCTGATTCAGTCGCAGTCACATAAACATGTAAAAGTACGACACTTTTCTGGCCTGTGCTTTTGCTAGGCGGTGACTTGCCGGTCATGCCTGGGCAGTTCAGATCGCATTAGAGTAGGGACGTAGAAGCTGAGCGCCAACACCGTCGCCTAGACTCATTGGACTAGAACTCAAGCTCCCAAGGAGAGCTGGCTCACGCACCTCAGCGGGGTTTCCAGGGGCCTGGGGAAGTGTCCCTTGGGAAGTGACCTGTCCTCTCCGTGGCCTCCTCCTCCGCAGATTTCGCGCCGGCTTCAAGCGGGCCTTCCGCTGGTGCCCTTTCATCCACGTCTCCAGCTACGACGAGCTGGAGCTGAAGGCCACCAGGTTCCACCCGACGCGACAGAGCAGCCTGTACACGGTGACCAGGATGGAGTCTGTGAGCGTGGTGTTCGACCCCAGCGACGGAGACAGCGCCAGGTCCAGTCGCAAAAAGAGAGGGACAGCCAGAGACGCAGGCTCCGGAGTCTGCTCCCGCAGGAGCTCCAAGTCCGCCACCCCCGCGGCCAGCCTGGTGAGCGCCCCCTACACCCCGGTGGACGACGGATCCTGACTGCCTGCTGGGTCAGTCACTTCGGGAGTCCCGCCGCTGCCACCTCTGCGGTCTGACGCTCTCTGGAAACAGAAGGAAAATGTTTAGGCAGCTACCCTTAAGTTGAGACAGGTTGCACATCAATATAACGAGAACACTACTGAGGTATTAGCTCCCTCCCCCCTCCAAAAACACAGCAAAATGGGCTTTTAAGTGCATTGCTTGAAATCTCTGAATTTTTATATGCCACGAACAAGAATATAAATCTGAAAAATATTTTGTAAAGGGTCCAGTTTTGCTCGTTTAAAAATTGCTGCGTACGTTTTTCGCACTAAAATGCCAGTTTGTTCCAAAACATTACACAAAGTTTAAAATATAATATTGTCAGTGAAGAGAAAGCAAGACTGCATAAAATGAAATGTTTTCAACTACAGACATAGAATGGAAAAGTTAAATGACTCATTTTCCTACAATAATGATAGAAAATTAACCTCTAAAACTTAGAAGTAATGGAATCTCAAGACAATCCATTTTGGATCGTAACAACTTTTAAAGACATTTAAATGAAAGCGAATCCTAATCACACCACTGGATTTTATCTACATAAATCTGTTTTTTTCTGAGACCATGATTTCAAAAGAAAAAAGTAACATGTAATTTTGATCATTACACCTTTTAAATGCCAAGTTTAGAAGTCGTCAGATTTAAGACTTACAGGGACAAACAAAACTCCTGGGGTCCTCTTTATTTTCTTTTTCACAGACTTTTGTTCTTTTTTTATTTTTTTCTTTTTATTGAGTTTATTGGTACATTTTAGGTATACAGAACAGTTACATTCATCATTGGGATCGTGTACCTCTACATGACAGGTCTTGGTTCTCATTTTTTCCCCTTGTCCCTGCCCTCTCTTCACCCTCTCCTCCCCTCCCCATTTACAAACACCTTATTTCCATTTTTTCATTTTCTCATATTTTTTTCTTTTCCCTTATTCCCGTTCCCCTACCAGACTTTTGTTCTAATTAGGTAGGTTGTAAGATTCTAAAGAGGCCTTCTGAGACAGAAGGAAATACTCCTCCCATTTACCTCTATAACTGCCTACCAGCTTTTAAGCAGGAACCACCCCAGCCATGCCTAGGTATGAAAGTGGACAGGGGCAACTCCAGGCTCCCAGGCAGGTAGGTGTTTCTCCCCTGTACCCCAAGAGAGAAATTTCAGACATGAAGTTTATCATCCATATCCTGGCCGCCTCCTCCTCCTCCTCCTCTTCCCCC